TTCCCTACAGTAACAGAGATGAAGAGAGAAGGATAATAGATCTTTGTGAAAAGAGGAGACTTCAAGTCAGAAATATATTTTGGAGTTTAGTAAAAGAATGCAAGTTGCAGTAAGGGAGATGCTGTTCTGCACTACTGATAATATAGGTCATTGAAGAAAAAGAGAAAAAAACTTATTTCCATTGACAGTAACCAGGTCCACAATGCAAATCACTGTACAAAAAACCATTGAAGCAAACCTGACTTGACGAGTTCACTGTCTACAAGATAAGAAGGGAGAAAAGTATTTTCTACACCTCATATGTGGAGAACAGAGATACAGATTTCCTAAGTCCAACTATGCTGAGTATTGCTCCTGTGGAAACTTCATCCATAACTTTATGCATGCAATTCAAGATACTTTGGTGGAGTCCAGACTAGTATCTGGACTAATCTGCTTCTAAATCCTGAGATTTTCCACCTTCATTTGAACCTGAATAGTTCATCGCTTTCACAAGCCTATTTCTGAAGCAGATCTCCTGCCTTGGATTAATTTTCAGGCCCCTCTGTGCTGCTTCCCAAATGACTACTGTTTCATTTTCAGGGGGAGTATCAAAGAGGAACTTTGGGATAATTTTTCTTTGAGTCGTTCAGGTTCTCACAACTGCTGTAATTCAGCTCAGAAAATGCCTTTTAACCTGCTTTTGCTTCCTACTTTTGCTGGTTACTCTAAGTAAACCTGACTCATTTCAAACACACAAATCTCAACTGCATTGCTAAATTGTTGGTTGAGGGCTTTTTTTCACATGTCAATAAGAACTGCAGATGCCTAGATGTCATCTGGTAACCTCTGTTCCCTCAGGACTGGGAAGTAGAGGTATACAGGTAGGGGACCCTCACCCATGCCTTTAAGTTCTGGGCTCTGCTCCTGAATGGCTTCTTTTGCTTTTCCCATCAGTAGTTGCCTTTTGTAAGGATAAATAAATATGAATGTAGTCTGACAATGACTGCAGTAATCTGTTTAACATTTCTCTTTCCTTTTTTTCTTTTCTTACGTGTAAGTATGTAAGGTGAAACCTTACTCAAAACGGCACAGTGAGCTCATCTTTCATCACCCACCTACTTGGGCAGATCAGAAGATGGCACAGTTCAATCTTTTCACCTTCCTCCAGGTGATAGGTGCTCAAAAGAGCCATTCAACAAATAGTCTATGCTCTCCCTCATGGACTCCAAATGTGACTGTTAATAGTCCTCTTATAGTGGGAAATTTATCCCCCGTCCACATCTCGGTCTTAGCCTTAGCTTTATCAGCCCCAAGTATTTGGTTTTGAAAAGCAATATTCTGTGGCTACGTTTTAGCTATTGTTAGTTGTGAATTAAGCTATTTTATACTCTTGGGATTTGAAGGCTGGGATTTTCTCCAGTAGCCAATTCAAAAGGGTAATTCTTTTCACTTGCCTTAAATGCTCATTTTAGGCTGCCTCTTCCCATTACCTTTAGAAGCTCGGTCAATTGGCTCAGACCTGGACACTTAAATAGCAAACCCCTAGCAGTTCCAAGCCTTAATGACTCCATGAAAAATGAGTTTTTCAATTGGCACCCCATTTGCTTTTTTTTGCAAAGAGAGGGATCACCCAAACTTCTTTGTTATTTCAAATTATTTAGCAGCAGACACCTTACAAAACAAGTGTGTCGTAAATCTGCTTGGAAACTCAGCAACCATCATTTTAACTACTGTTTTCTTTGCTTCCATTTCCTGAGGCAGTTGTGTGATTCCATGAGCACAATTTTTATTATTGGGTTCTTGAGAGCAGTGCTGATGCGTTAAAGGATTTTCAGGCTATCAATCTTTTTATTGCTACAGAACACTTAGAAAGAAAACAGTGAATTCACAAGATACTAATATTTGTATTGTGATCTAAGAATTAGCAAATTATCTCCTTGAAATTTTTTAGGTCAATTGCAAATGCACTTGTAGAAATATTTATGAAAGAGCAGGAACAGAAAAATATCTTAACTTGTGGTTAGTTTCTCTTGAGCCTCTGAGGAGGAGGCAGCATGTTGATGTGTGCACATGCTCTTGCCCTTTACAGAATACATCTGTAGGCTGGTTTATGTTTTGTATGTAATTCCTGTGTGTTTTTTGCTTTTGTTTCATTATCTTTTTACTGACATTTTGATTTGAGGTAAATTTTCTGACACATGACTTTAAGGAAGTCTGCTGACATGGGACCATGCCCAAGCATCCCCTTGTGAGCACTGATTAAAAAAACAACCAAAAAAAGGAGAAAGTTTTTCGGCTTATATATTAAGATCTCCCAAGGAAAAGAATACCAGCTCTGGTTCTTTGCACACTCTGGGTGGTACAACAGTCATATTTAAAATACATTATCTCGCACATTTTATTAAAAAACCCAAACAAGTCCAGCAGTTGAAAAATTACAGTGTCCAGCCATGATGAACTCTTAATTTTTCTCCACAACCACCGAAAGTTCTTTGTCCTGTGAACACTAAGAATACGAGTAACTTTACACATGTAAACTGACACACTGAATTTGGATAAAACTGTTGAGTTTGTCAGCTTTTCTTATATCCTAAAATGAAGATTTCAATCTGACTGAAAAGCATTTAGCTTTTACATAGTCAAATAACTTTGGACATAATTAATTATGGTTTTCAAAGTCATTGTTAGAACTGTTTTCAGGGTCAGATAACATGGTATGTCTGTGATTAAATTACATCAAACAGAATATGATTCAATCAGTGAGGCTTTTGAATTGTTGTGCCTGTTTGCCAGGTCTCACATGTCAAAGCCGCAGGTATTTCAGAGAACTTTACTGCATTATATACAATTCCCAAAGACCCTTTTGCTGTATTTCAAGGAGTGTCTTCAGAAGATTATACTATATATCTGAAGACCAAATATCTCCTTTTCCAAATATCTTTGCTTTTATGGCTTGAAGTGCCACTTGGGTAAGTTAAATGCATTCTCTCTCAATCATCAGTGCAAACTATGTTAAAACAGGTAAATCTGGCAAGGAGTTTTCCAAAGAGCATAAGAAATTATGATATCTTGGAGTCTATGTAAAGCAGTCTAGTACTACAGAGATAAAACTGAGTGGATTTTTAGGGATCTTGTCTGGCACGTTTTACCTCACAGATTTGTAGCTAAAACTGTGTTTCCTTTTGTTGACTTCTGAAAAATATGCCTTTACATGCTTTTTTCTACACACTGTAAATCTTGATGAAATCTTAAGATTACAGCAGGATTTTGAGAGGACTTCTTATTAACAGCCTATACTTTGATATGCACTGCAATTATAAGCAAGAGCATGTATGCTGTAAGATCTATTGGAAGATTAAATTTGTTTTAGTTTTAAGATGGAGAAAACAAAAAGGTAACAAAATCCATTTTGTTTTCTGATTTTAATACTTTGTGAAAGGAAATACAACCATTAGATGGCTCTGTGGTTCTGTGACTCAGGTGTTATTTCTGTCTGTTCAACTGTGCAATGCTATTTATTTATGCTGCTGTGGTGAGTCCTGGCTGGATGCCAGGTGCCCACCAAAGTTGCTCTATCACTGCCTTCCTCAGCTGGACAGGGAAGGGAAAATATGAGAAAAGGCTTGTAGGTCAAGTTAAGGAGAGGGAGATAATTCACCAATTACAGTCATGGGCAAAACAGACTCAGCTTGGGGAAATGAGTTTAATTTATTACCAATGAAATGAGAGTAAGATAATGAGAAATAAAACCAAATCCTAAAATCACCTTTTGCCCACCCTTCTGTTCTTCCCCAGCTGAACTTTACACCTAATTTCTCTATCTCCTCCCCCCGCAGCAGTGCAGGGGGATGGGGAATGGGGATTAGGGACTATAGTGACAGGACAAGGGGTAACGGGTTAAAACTTAAACAGGGGAAGTTTAGATTGGATATAAGGAGGAAATTCTTTCCTGTTAGGGTGGTGAGGCACTGGAATGGGTTGCCCAGGGAGGTTGTGAATGTTCCATCCCTCGCAGTGTTCAAGGCCAGGTTGGACAGAGCCTTGGGTGACATGGTTTAGTGTGAGGTGTCCCTGCCCACGGCAGGGGGGTTGGAACTAGATGATCTTAAGGTCCTTTCCAACCCTAACTATTCTATTCTATGATTACAGTCAGTCCATCACGTGCTATCTCTGCTGTTCCTTCCTCCTCAAGAGGAGGACTCCTCACACTCTCTGTTCCAGCATGGGCTCCCTTCTCATAAACTTCCCCATAAACAGTCATAAACTTAAACATGGGCCCTTCCCAGGGGATGCAGTTCTTCACAGACTGCTCCAGTGTGGGTTCCTCATAGGGTCACCAGTCCTGCAGCAAACCTGCTCCAGCATGGGCTCCACTCTCCACAGGGCCACAGGTCCTGCTAGGAGCCTGCTCTAGCGCGGGCTGCCCACCGGGTCACAGACTCCTTCAGGCATCCGCCTGCCCTGGTGTGGGATCCTCCATGGGCTGCAGGTGGAGATCTGCTCCGCTGTGGACCTCCATGGGCTGCAGAGGCACAGCCTGCCTCACTATCGCCTGGGCCACAGGCTGCAGGGAATCTCTGCTCTGGCACCTGGAGCACCTCCTCACCCTCCTCCTGCACTTCCCTTGATGTCTACAGAGCTGTTGCTCTCACTTGTTTGCATTTTCACTCCTTTCTTTAGCTCCAGTTGCCCAGTAACATTTCCCCCTTCTTAAATACATTATCCCAGAGATTCTACCACTGTCACTAATTGGCTCATCTTTGGACAGTGGTGCATCCATCTTGGAGCTGTCTGGCATTGGCTCTATCAGACATGGAGGAAGCTTCTACCAGCTTCTCACACAGGCTGCCCTTGTAGCCCCCTCTACCAAAACTCTGGAAACCAAATACAGCTCCTTATTAATCGTACAGTGCTACTTCTTAGGGAAATTAATTGGCTTATTACTATTGCAAATATGTTGTTTCTGAAACTGAAATGTTTTAAGCTACATGTACTTATCCAAAGGGTATACATTTTCAATAGAAGAATGACTGTCCTTAGAAAAAGAGAATGATTGCAATGGCTCGTTTTTGACCAGTTTACTGAGATAGTTAGATTTTGCAATATGTCTTTCTCTTTGTCCAGCAAGACACTTAAAAGTACTTTAGCCTTCGGCACACATTGTACTGTGAATATATGTAGGAGAAATTAAACCAAACGAAATAACCGCTTCAGACAAATCTCCAGTTTATAAAACAACTGATGGTATTTAAATATTTTAATCTGCTTTACTAGCAGTGAGATCTGACAAAACAACAAAGCATTGAAACACCATTTTACATTAACATTACAAAATACAGCAAATGCTTTTCTCTATGTATTTACATAAGCAAACATTCAGGTATTCAAAATAGAATGCATCTCACCATCTGGCAATAATTACATAAGTACAGTGCATGGTTGGCTGGATGGGATAGATACATAGGATTTTTTACCCTGAAGTGTATAAAGGATGCACACCAGCTTAGGAGATACATGGTGAGCTTTATGTCTTTGGACATTTTTCAGATGCAATCTTAACAGCAATAAAATGTCACTTTACTTGAAAAATTGTTGATTAAAATATTTTTTTTCAGACAAAGAGGATTTTTTGGATGCAGATACAGCAGACTGACTTAGCATGCTTTTCCTGTAAGGTAGAGGAAGGCCCTAAACTCTGAGCTAGTTTGTGTGAATGTCATTTTTTGCCTGGAAAATTACAAAAGTCTCCTAGTCTGATGCATAATGAAACCTTTTTTTTTTTTTGAAAGATGAAAGTGTTGCTCTGGAGCTGGTCATACTAAACTGTAGTGTTCATCCCAGGTGTGGGCCCAGTGCTAGAAAATCTCATTTAAAACGGCTGAACTTCATCATCTCTCTGCAGTATAATGACTCTATTAATTGCTATCTACTGATGAACAACATCCCACAGATCTGGCATGGTGGGTAGAACAAATTCAGACACTGTCTCTGTCATTCTCAATAAGGCAAACCACACACAAAAAGATCTGTTAACATTTTGGTGCAAGGTGGCAGAATCAGGCCTTGCTAAACTATCTAAGATGTCCATAAAGAACTGGAGATATTGGTCTTTATCTGCTGTGCATTCTTGGCTTTGAGAAGCTTCTTAGGCAAAATCTGCTGACCATTCAATAAAACCACCTATCTGAGTGCTCACAGAATTAAAATGTCAGGCATCAGATATCCCTTCTTCTGAGCCAAAAATAAGTGTTATCCTACCTCCAGCTGTCAATTAAAGAAGTGCTGTCTAGTCTCTTGGGTCCAAACCATCGGTTTTATTTTAATAAGCTGGAAAAAAGTTATTGTTCAAAGTCATCTTCTAATGAAACATCAAGCAAGTAATTGAAACCGTCTTTGTAGTGAAATGTTCCCTGTCAGTATTTGCAACCTGAGCAATTTGACATTGTGAAAGAGGAACAGAAGGTGAAATGAAGAAGAAACAAGGGGGCTGATTTACTCTTCCACGTGGGCAAAATGCAGACGGTAAGCAGAGAGCATAAGCAGTTAATGTTAAATGCTCAGTTTATCAAGCTCAAGCTGGTGAAGGAGACCAGCAACTAGGCCCTCAGGAGTCTGGGGAGGAACTGAGCTTTGGAGAAGTTCAGGGTGCCGTATACACCACACTGTATGCAGGCAGGCTCTGTTCCATGGCACTAATGGACAACAGAACCTGAGCTGTCTATCCCATTGGCTTTTTACTCTTGCAGGGCCAGACACACTTGCATCAAGGTGGGCACAAATTGCACACAAAAATGGCAATTCCCACCACTGGTGGAAGCATCTGTGTTTCCTTTCCCCTCAAACACAGTTATAGACCTTTGATCCTGTGTCAGTACTCATGACATGAATCCAGTTCGGTTTGGTGGCAGATCCTGAGCCTCAGACCTCTACTCATGAAAAGACCTTTGGTTTTGTTACTGCTGCCTTCTTTCCTGAGGTGCCTGATCGCAAGGGTAGATCCTCAAAACCATCACTCCCGTTGTGGAGAGGAGACATCTGGACACCAGGAGGTACCTGAATACCCTGTATCTTGGATGCCCTGCATCATGTGTGTTTCATCAGTGCTCCAACCCTTGCCTGGCTGGCATGTGTTATGTGAGCTGGCCATTGTCCTTAGTTCAAACCCCATATCTACTGTTACAGTGGTTCTCATGCTCAGCTGCATTTATCAGATTCCCCCTGAAGTCCCTTCTGTGCAATCACTTCTGGGCACCCCTCACACGACAATGTGTGGGAGCAAGGTATGCATAGAGAGGTAGGAGCAGTGAATTCATTTTTCCCTCTGCTGAAGCTGTTCAGCTGGACTGGGGTGGTCAAGTGTGCCCAGAGCCAGAGAGACCGTATAAGCCATGTTGGTGAGCACAGCATTTATACCACTTGGTTTATCAGGCCATCCTAAATTAGCAGTTTTGGGGGGAAAACCATAACTGGGCATAAGCTGACGCATGACACATCACCACAGTGGGGCTATAGCAAAACACACTGACCCAGGCGGGGAAGATGAGGGCTGTGGTGTGAATCAGTGTCACCATGTGCATGCAAAGCTCTCATGTGACTTGTGCACAGTGGCTCTGACCTATCCCGCACTGGACGAAATGGCTCATAGAAGTGACAGATTTAGTTAACATGCTGGCATAAGAACAATAACAGCAGTTTCTTGGAAATCAGCCAAATACCCAGACACATTTTAAGTACTTTTCTACCACAGATCAGTAGTTTAAGCTAGAAATCTTCCTCTCCCAGAGACCCCCAGCTAGCATGCTGTAATCAGATTCAGTTTGTCTCTCTCTTTCTTTGCCTTAGTGGAAATTTAATTTGTCTATGAAAGCTGAACAGTTTCAGGGGAAGGGCTGATGAAGGCATTGGAGTTTGGCTTCTGGGTAGGCAGTATTTTTTCAGAGTGGACAGGATCTGAAATTGGAATACATCCTGCTTCTAATAATTTTAGCTGGAAAATCCATGGAACAAATAAAATGCTTGGATTTAGGTTTTGCAGGTGGATGGAACATTTATATTTCTGCTCTCCAGCAGCATCCTGCTGGCTTCTGTGTGATTGTCTGTGGTGCCTGAAAGGAAATAGTTTCATGACCAGGCATTTCTCTCAAGAAATGTGTTTGATATTCTTTATGTAATGCATTCTGCCCTTGGAGTTAGGCAGGTGAAATAGAGTGCCAGTTACAAGTCGTGTTCTTTCTCAAGTGGGCCCCATTTGCCCATATGTATTTAATTAAGGCTAGTCCTAATAGTGCAAGCTACCTACCATTCCTGAGCAATCTACAGTAACAGCAAAACAGTGAAACCAGGTAAAACAATTTTGAGCATCCAACAGTTTCTAATAACTCTGGCTCTACAAGCCCTAAAACAAAACTAGAAGGACATTCTTCAGAATGGCTTTTTTAACCAAAGAGAAATGATGAGAAAGGATCTGCTGCAAATTTTGCTGGAGGCTTTACTCAAGCAAAACATCCACTGACATTACTTATATCAGACTCTGTTGGAATCAAACATAGGCATGGATTTGCAATCACAGAATCATAGAATAGTTAGGGTTGGAAAGGACCTTAAGATCATCTAGTTCTAACCCCCCGTCTGAAATTATTTGGCAGTGTTGCCCCTGATTTTCCACTCTTCTCTCACTTCATTTTCCTGTCAACACTGGTGGGAAGGAACATGAAATCAACCCAAATAATTACTTTTGAAAAAAATAGTTTCAAGTTGTAAACTGAACAGATGAAACTTTTTGAATGGAAATAAAGTACAAGATATGAAATAAAGATCATGAATGGTGGTAGAAACAAAGGATCATTCAAGTATAATTTACCTCTGAACTGTAGAGCAAATGGCAGAAATCCCAGTGACATTTTATAATGGCCACTCAGAAGAAAAAAAAGGCCATAAAAACACTGTTACCAAAATGTCCATATCATTAATCTATACAGGTTTTAATAGATTTTTTCTTTAATACTTCAAAATTTATTTTAAATATATATTAGCAAATTAACTATCATTTTATTTAAAATTCTGTAAAGTGCTCATTCAGTTAATGATAACAAAGTTCCATTGTAGCAACACAAACTAGCTGGAGCCTACTCTGCGAGAACATCAAAGGACAGCTTAGCTTTCATTTGCAAAAAGAAAAGCTTAGGTTTTCTTCACAGCCCATGTTATAATACAAGAAATTGCATTTTTTCTTTAAGAAATATATCCTTTAGAATATTAAAAAAATAAGTTTAATAAAGCCTGTGCTTAAAACAGCCAAAGTACTGTATGAAAAGAAATTGCACATCTGATACCATTCCAACCCTGCTTTTCATCCACAGGATAATGTGAGGAGTATGTGATGTTCTTGGTGGGTCTCTTGAACAGGACTGATTTTCTTCAGCTATTAGAGCTTCTCACAGCCAGGTGAAGCTCCCAGAGTGTGCATGATTGTTGTCATGGCAGCTGCCAACTGTCACACACCGCTAACCTTTTCGTTTGCTGGGCTAATATTTCCCTTGGAGGTACCATCCAAATGATGTATTCCTATCGTGACCATCGAATAGTCCTTAGCCATCATTTTTGCCTCATTTTTCAAACTCTTCATTTGAGCTAGATGGAGCTGGCTGGAATTATATGCAAGTGCTGGGATAGTGTTCACTAAAATCAGCTGGAAGGGTTTCTTCTCCTCCTTGTAGCGACACTGAATGTAACGAGAGAAAGCTGAGCGGTAGGTTTTATTGAACAATGTATATACGAGTGGGTTGACAGCTGAAGAAAGGTAGCCAATCCAAACAAATACATTAAGTAGTTCTCCAACGACTTTTTGATTGCATGACTCCTTGCAAATTACGGCCATCACATTGGTGATGAAAAACGGGCACCACATCACAACAAACAGAAAGAAGACAATGCCAAGAACCTTGGAAGCCTTCTGCTCGTTGCTGATGGATTGCATGGTTCTTCTTCCAGAAGTTCCCATGTCTCTGTTCAAAGAGCGCTGAAAGAGTTTCTCTGAGGACAGAGAACTCTGAGGGAGGAAGCTAAATGAAGCAAATTTGGTCTTTGGGCCAATGTCATTCACGCATAGCGTGGCTTCCTTCTGCAGCAACTTGATAGTTAAAAAGTAGGTGACCACCATGATCGTTAGAGGGATAAAGAATGCCACAAAAGAGCCTATTAGGACAAAATTCTCATCTGCAAGTAGGCAGCTGTCTTTCTTAAACACTTTGGAATCATCTTGTAGTCCGAAGACAGGTACAGGCATAGAGATACCTGAAGGTGGATTAGGGAAAGAGAAAGTTAAACACAATAATAAAAAAATACTATTTCCAATCACCAGGAAAAAATAAACAAAACACTTTTACCTGTAAACAGATAATTTCTCAAAGAATAAATAGTTATAGGACACAAATGAACACTAATAGATAGAGACACAATTGATAGACATCCCAAAGCAAACTGAACTTACACAGTGGAAGGAAAAAATACTGCATCTCATGTTTCATCAGCAGCACAATGCTAGTCCCATTCTTGGGATGCTGTGTTGGAGCTACACTAAGAAAAGATACCTTGTGTAACACTGGTCTTGCAGATGCTGAATTTCAGGTCTGCCAGCCTCTTGCATTTGTGCTACCACCACCTTTATAGGGTCCTGAGAAAGGCAGGGGGAGAGCAGCACTGGAGTTACATGGGATTTTGCGTTTGCTCTAATCTGAAGTCCCTCTCTCCTTCAAAGAAACCTTAGCCACAAGTAGAACACATCTGCTTTCATTCAACTGCTCCATGACACCTGGTAGCAACAAAAGCATAACTCCTTATATTCCTGGATTTTGTCCCCCCTGTAATGATATCCAGACTTGCTCCTTGGTTCCTGCCACATTAACAAAGGCTTTTATCAACTTTGATCAAGATGATACCATGTCTTTCTTTGTGGGTGGTTTAAGAGTGGTCTTGGGCTGTTTGTTACAAAGAGGATTAAATGTGTTCTCGGCACTGCTTTCTGATGAGGCTGTGAAATACTGATTTTAGGAAGGAAGATAAATTTTTGTCCTAGGTCTGACAATAATCTTTCACTAGGTCTTTTTCTGTTCTCCCTGTGATCTCATTACAGTCGACAGAGTCTAAATGCTAAAAAAACCTTTCCATGGCAATGGTCAGATGAACAATGGGGACAAATTAAGCACTGAAGGACACCAATATGAGGCAGCCTGAGATGTGGCTCACCCTGAGGGAATGCAAAGGTCATTTCACATCCCCGAAGGCAACAGCAGGCGTGGGAACTTTGTCTTCCTCTGGAGCATGTGCTGCGTCCTTGCCCTGTCATGAGCAGCAAGGCCAGGTGATGAAGTTCATTCTCCTTGGACTGCTCTGACTGATTCAAGCCCACTCAGCCATTTCCTCAGGGACTTCTGCAAATGCTGCTAGTGTCTGAGCAAAATCAAACAGCTGCTGTTTCTTTGGTTGTTGGTTTTGGTTTTTTTTCAATATTTGTTTCCTCCCCTCCCCCCAGATGGATGCTGTCTCTCCAAGAGAGGCAATGTTCACACAGCGAAAAGGATGACGTGAAGACAGTAGAACTGAAATTGTGAAGCAGGGAAGTGATAATGCAGCCCTGTTGGGATAAAAGCAGTTAGGAGTCTGACTCCTGTGGAAAACTAGCATAACCTGGCAGCTTCAGCTCTCTTTTCATCTTTGAACAGAAATCCCAGATGCTGTATTTGGCTTCTGAGGGGAAAAAAAAAAAAGAGGGAAGAATTTCTTATGATGTGAGGATGATGCTGTGCCCTGCCTTGTCTCTTGTGTACCCAGGAATATCCTTACTGGTTCACAGATGACTCCTGAAACTCATGCTTTCAACAACAAAATTTCAGTCATAACTCCCTCTATCTCCTTTCTTTTCCGTTCTTCCCACTCTTGTTCTTAGGCAGGGAGCCCTCTAAAATTACAGGTTATGTTTTCACTTCACACATTTTAGTACCCAACGTAACAGCTCCAGTCCTAGAGGGAGGCTATGGAGTCTGGCACAGTACAAAACAATAACAGTAATAATAATATTAAAATATTATTCTCTTCAAATATTCCTTTCTTTTGGTGCTTCTGGAGCTTCTACAATGCTCTTTCATTTTTCTAACACCACTGCCCTTTATTTTCTTAACAACACTGTAGCTTATTTTATCTGCACATCTTTGAACTGAATCATGGCAGTGCCTTGGACCAGTTTACAAAAGTGCTGCTCTTATCTGCCCAGGGCAGAAGCTGATGGAGATCTTCTGGTATTGCCCTTTCTGTTTCTGCTGCACAAGCCCTAAATGCTTGAACTTGTCTATGAGAAGCCAGTATGTGAGATGCAGACTCATGCCGTGGGTGGGTTGGGCTCATGGAAACTTTCAGTGACTTCAGGGAAGCTGCTGCCTAAAAAGGCCCGAGTCAGTCTGACTGATGGCGCAGAGGGAGAGGTCACCTGCCAGAGCCACACTGCCCAGCTACAGCCGAGTAATCTGGGGTGCAAAACACCTCCAGAGAAATGGGGAATGCTTTGAAGTTCCTTTCCTTTCTTTTTTTGGGTGAGCTGAATGATACTGAAGGCACCCAACGCCTCCGAGCATTACACTTCAGCTGCATGAAGGCAAAGCACTACTCAGAGCAATACCACAAGTTTCCCATCTGTTTCTGCCCTGTACTGATAACAGCAGGGCTGTTTTTTCTTTTAATTCAAAGACCTAGTGTAAGCTGCAGAGATAAAATAAACAATGGTAGCGACAGAGTCAAAAGATGCCTTTAATTACAACAGACCTTATGATTCAGCCACATCAGAAGGCATGGAAGGAGAGGCAGCAGCATTAGAAAGAGGAATATTTTCGTTTAATTGCAAACCTTTTCAAGTAAAAGGCAAAAGTCACCTGAAATACAAAGGGCAGCAGTTCCCCACCTGCTTTGTTTTATTGTTAGCAGCTTTTGGAGCCTGGCATCTAAATACAGATTGCTGGCTTTAAAAAATGGAAATGAACTTCAGCTTGTAGCTGGAGTTTCCATTCTTTGTCATTCCTTTACCAAGGGCAAAAGTGCCATTCACAGCAGAACTATGGCAGGCACTGCTAGTTGTGAGAGTTTTTCTGAATGACTGTTTAATGCATCTTTCCCCTGCAGCCATGGGTAACTCGCCTGTGTACAGTTTGAAAATACCAGAGGTACCAGGTTTGGTAGCAGATAACACTGACAGCTGTAATGTGCTTTTTGTGCACACCCCAGTTCAGTTGATGTAGAGGATCTCACAGATGATACTACAGGGACCAAACTTATTGCTCTCCTCCCTGAAGGAACAGAGTTTGTGCCTCTTCAACAGGTAGGTACCTTGAAAAGGTAGCTTCTGGCATCTGTAGCTTGAGGATAGTAAACCCCTGAGAGGACACAAGGACCAAAGGCAGTCATTTTTAAACTGTAAATAAAGGAGCTTCCATGTGCAACCCATCCCCACTGGGATTTTTAGGGAGCATCACACATGGCCAAGAATGTCACCCACACATCACTCAGGTTTGGTCAAGATCAAGCTTGTCCTATAGACGCATAACAAAAAATTATGGTCTACGCTGTATTAGCATTATTGCAGCTAACTGAATTCATTCTTTAAAGACTGAAGCTGACTGATTTCTCCTTGATGATTCAGATGTATAATTTCTTGCCGTTTTTATTGTCTGTGCTTTCCAGCTCTCTGCTCTTGGTGACTGTGGACATTTAAGAAGGCACAAGGTTGTGCTGTGTATTCAAATATCAAGAGCTTCACAAGAAAGAATCACGAAGAGCTACCAACTGGGGATGAGCAGGTATTTGGGAAATAAATTGTGTGCAAACGGTAGATCGGGAGGAAACAACCCAACAGGGCTGTAACAGAAGAGATATATTCTGCACCCTGCCCATTCCACATCCCTGGCTCAAGGTCAGTCTGGAAAAAGTCTTGATATCCTCTGAGTGCTTTTTTATGGTTTATCTTACTCTGCTTCCAAATCAAACTAAGCTGAAGCACGAGGAAGCACTCAGCACAGAATGGGAGCATTCATTTGAGCACTGAAGGTACATTAGGCACTGTGTTTCCCGTAGACTTTCCCACTCATATCAGAACATTTTCCCTTGTGGACAAGCCCTAAATATTATTTTCCTCTGGCAGAAGGTGGTTTATTTATATAGCTTGATTTATAGACAGGTGGCTGTTTCAAACTGTATGGACTTTAATAAACCACAAACCAGAACACAAACAATAAAGATGAGTAATAAATCCTGCATTAAACCTTAAGCATTTGAGCACAACTTGAGAATGACAACAGGCTCTTGAAAACACCAAAGGTTAAGAAGTAAAGCGATAACATCCTTCTTGTTCTCTCAAAAAGCCTGGTAAAACTGATAAAGTTTGATTTAGTGGTACACATTGCTGGCTTGCCAATCTTCAGACATATACAGCAGCCATAAAACCACTTTAACCGGGCAGGTGAACTGGTTTTGCAGCTGCCTTATGCTGCTGAGATTATCAATAAATCAAAGCCAGAATTTACAATATGCTATGCAGAGTGGCACACTTGGGCTATGCAGGATGAAGAGGAGGGGGGAGTCAATGGTAAAGTCAAGGTTCCTCCTGTGAAGTGTCCTTCAAGCAGACATTGTCAGTCGAAAGCTTTCACCTCACATATATCCATTTCAATCAATTTGAATACATTACTGTATACCTTAATAAAAGTCCAAGGGATAGAAAATACCTTTTAGAAATGTTATTATAGTTTACCAACAAAATTCACTTCACCTTCACCTGAAAAAGAAGAAAACTTCCCCAGCTCAAGTTTTAGAAGCCACATTGGTTTAGACAGACCATGGGCCACTGCACAGAGATGTGCTGTGGCACTGAGGACATCCGAGAGGATGGCTGCTTGGAGAAGGCCAGTCTGTCCTTCAATGTGTCAGTATTGTCTTATTTCTTTAGAAAAGCCCATGCCTGGTATCTGGTGCCTTTCTGTATTCAGACAATGTTCTCCTTTGGTGCATCTACACATTCAAACAACAAACAGCCATGCACATATACTCATATGATACATCCTAAGGCATGCATACACAATGCAAAATCTCTGTATCATGTTGTATAAAAAATTCTGTTTAGAGGTGAAACTGGACATCACATTATTTTCAATATTTTGGACTGAATAATCACACAAAATAGTATTTATTCCTTTGGGCTACCGTGTTGCCCCGTGTGGATATTTGCTTGCTCTAGGAACGCAAACCACTTGTGG